GTTTAGGGTGGATTTGGGTGGCGGAGGCTAGATTTAGCCTTAGGTTTCAGAGAGAGTTTGAAAGGAGAGGGGATTCAAAGGCGGCGGGTAGGTAACAAATGAATTAGGTTAGGGGTTGTTTTGGGTTAAAAAGATAAGGTAGAACGGTTATCGTTGATCTGAATGATCCACGGCCTAGATTAAAAGGGGTAGGTGGGGATCCAGATTTGGGTAGGATTTAATTGGGTAAGGGTCGAGTTTAAATTAAAATTGAGCTGGGGAATTGGGGTTCAATTTAGGTTATAGTTAAAATGCAAAAGGGGATGTTATTTAAATAGCTCGTTTTCCCTTTTAAATTTATAAAAATAGTAAATAGTTTTTGAAAACTAAATTGAAAGGGCTAAAATGATTTTCAGTACATAATTAACAATATAAAAATATAAGACTCAATTTTATGAATAAGTAACACAATTAAGTCTTAAAATAGCTAATATTGCAATTATGTGCAATTTAGCTTTAAGAATACTAAATGAAATTATAAAAATACGTAAAATTTAATTTAGCCATATTTTGGCATAAATATAAAAAACCAATAGATGAATTATCAAGATAGTAAATTTTGAAAATAATAATTGAGATTTTATGGATAAACAAAGGGGGAAATAAATCCACTAAAAACCTTTAAAATTGTGGAAAAATAATAAAATCCTTGGACATACTTATATATGCATATATATATATATATATATATATATATATATATATATATATATATATATATATATATATATATATATATATATTATTTTGAAGTTATTTTGCATATTAAAAATATATAGGAAAAAATTGGGTATCAACAGTAAACCTTCATGGTCTTACCGAGTTGTTCTTTGAACATCTTGGTGACTAACCTTTGATATGTCGCCCCTGCGTTCTTGAGTCCGAACAACGTTACCTTATAGTAGTACCTTCCTTGGTGAGTGATGAAAATGGTCTTTTCTTGGTCTTCTTCATCAACTAGAATTTGGTTGTAACCAGAGTAGGCGTTTAAGAAGCTCAGTAGTTCGTGTCCCGCTGTTGTGTCGATGAGCTGGTCCATATGTGGCAATGTAGAGGAATCTTTCGGGCATGCTTTGTTCAGGTCGGTGAAGTCGACACACATTTGCCATTTCCCGTTCTTCTTTTTTACCATGACCACATTGGCGACCCATTGGGGATATTTCGAGTCTCGGATGGAACCATTAGCGAGTAATTTATCAACTTCTTCGCTGACCACCTCATTGATGGTGGCATTGAACTTTCTCCTCATTTGCTGTACTGGTGGGTAAAGAGGATCAACATTCAGCCTGTGTGTGGCGATGTCCCTTGGGATTCCTGGCATATCTGAATGGGAAAAGGCAAACAAATCAGCATTGTTAGTTAAGAACTCATGATACTTACCTAGTTCTGAGAGGTTGTGTCCGATATAAGCCTTTTCCGTGCTATCAGTGTTGTCTAGTTGAACGGGGTCGAGATCTTCTATGGTTGCCTTGCAAGCCTCTACGACATCCGAGTCTTTAATGGCCTCTATTTGTACGTCGGGTTTGGTTCCCGATATGGCTGATTGCTATGCTTCTGCACTTGCCCCTTTTAGTTGTTTGGTGTGTGTGCAATCTTGGGTGATCCAGTAGCATTCTTGGGCGGTGTATTGCTCGCCTCAGATGCTGAATATCCCATATGGTGTAGGAAATTTAATTATTTGATAGAAACTTGACGGGACGGCTCGCATGGCGTGCATCCATGGACGCCCTATGATAGCGTTGTAGGCTGTCTCCTGGTTCATGATATGGAACGTCGTCTCCAGGGTGACTCCTCCTGCCAGATTGAGTAGCACTATCTCTCTAGAGGTTCGCTCCACTACATTATTAGAACCCGTTAGTGTTATGCAACGCGATACTATTTTATCCTCGAGCCTCATCTGCATGAGAACTCGTGGGTGAATAATAAGCATACCGCTTCCGTCATCCACCATTATTCTACTTACGTCGGCATCCGCGATATGTAAAGTTATAACCAAAGCATCATAGTAAGGGAAAGACAAACCGTTGGTATCCGACTTATCGAAGATGATACTATCTTTGAGGTCGTCATACCGTTCATGGGCGACTGCCCGTTTGAGTTTGTGCGTGGTGGTGAACTTCACATGGTTGATTATCGTATCATAGCCACCACCAATGATCATTTGTATGGTATGAGCTGGCGATGGTGGTTTTGGAGGTTGTTGAGGCTGATCGCGCTCACGAGCGAAGTTGACCTGTCCTCGGTCGCTCAGCAGTTCTTTCAGGTGTCCCTAATTTAGCATTCTTACCACTTCCTATCATAGACCTATGCAGTCCTCGGTCTTGTGCCCCCTTTCCCGGTGGAATTCACATAGAACGTTCGATCTCTGGGTGCTTGGATCTGACTTCATTTTTTACAACCACTGTACCTTTGTGCCAAGCTTTTCCAGTAAGTACACCATTTCTGAAGGAGAAACACAAAAGTTATGAGCAGATAACAATGGAGGCATACCTCTTTCATTTCGGGGTGGTGCGGTGTGTCGAGGCGCGACATCTGCATGTCATGGAGGAGGTGGTTTGGATGTTTGGATATAGGGCTAGTGCCTTTCCCGATTGAAATGGGGTAGTTGATCCCTTCGGCCGTCGTTGCGGTGATCTCTCCTTGCTTCAGTTTGGACCGATGTTAGTCATTGGATCGGGTCGTTCAGGTCATCCTCGTCTGCCCTCACTTCTACGCAATAGGCATTATGGATCTATTCCCACGTGGTGGGGGTGGGGGGTACTTCATGAGTCTACTTAGCAACTTTTTGGTTGCTTTTGACCTGTTTCTGTTTAACCTATTTTGGAAGGCTGCTACCGCCATCCCTTCTGACACGTTTGGTAGGCTCATCCTTACCCTATTGAATCGGGCTAGGAAATCCCAAAGTCCCTCGCCCGTCGTCTGCCTGACGGCGAAGATATCATTTACCCTGACTTCTGCCTTTTTTGCTCCCGCGTGAGCGGTGACGAACTTATCTGCCATTTCTTCGAACGTTGATATTGATCGTGCTGGTAGTTGGGAATACCATGTCAACGCTCCCCTTGTCAGAGTTTCGTCAAACTTTTTCAGCAGCACTGACGGCACCTGTTTTTTCGAGAGATCGTTACCTTTCACTGTAGTAACGTAATGGATTAAGTGATCCTCCGAGTCCATGGTGCCATCATATATTTTCAAATATGGCGGCATTTTGAAGGTTTTAGGAATAGAGTGGGGAGCTGCCCCTTCGCTATAGGGTTGTTTGACGAATTGGCCCACATCACGTTTTGGTAGCAACTTCGGAGTGCCCGGTATTTTATCAACCCTTTCCTGATGCTCTTTCATCTGGTCGCGGAGTGTTTTGTTCTCATTTTCCATCTCTTACATTTTCTTTAAGATGGTCGCAAGTGCATCGTTGCCTACATTAATGACATTATGAGTGTTACCTGTTCGCGGAGTTTCTGGCTCATCGGCGACAGCTGCAGTTTCTGCGGGTATTGTGCCTTCGATATCCCTTTGAACGGGTTTCTCGAGTATATTGCTCAAGGTGTTTGTCAACCATTCTTCTAATAGCCTTCTCACGGCCGGTAGTGCTTCTCCTGCTGTGGATGTTGAGGTTTCCCTCTCGCACGAGATAGTTAGGCCCTCATGCGGTGAGGGGGGCGAGATCTCTCCCTCAGGTGTAGCACTTGGCGTTGCGTTTTTGTTGTCTTCCCCACCAGCTTCATTGAGGGAATTCAGGAAGTTGTTCATGACACCTACTATTGCCTTTAGCCTTGTTTCTCCCTTTCCTGCCATAGTTGGCCTTTATGAGGCTAAGAAGAGGTGATTATTTCTTTCAAGAATCTAGACGAAACTAAGATCTCAGCTATAGAAATCCCCACAGACGGCGCCAAATTGTTTGACTCAAAAGATATCGGAACCTTTTTGAATAAATCAATCAAAGAAAAAGAAGGGGTAAATCTTAGCTAAACATAATAATCTCTAGAACAAAAGATAGACAAGGAGAGTGTAGAGGATAAGAACTCTCTATCCCTTTTTTAAAAAAAGCTTAAATCATAACCCGATCAATCGTTTATGTAAGCAAGTTTACAGCAAGTATTATGGGTTAGGAAAGATGTCCCCAGAGTCCACAAGGTTGTTTTACGTTCTATATATATAAGGGACCAAACCCTTCTTAGCTCTAAAAGACATGTTACAGGGAATATTCGAGAGAATATTCCTAATGTCCCCTAATGGGCCTGCATTACTGCAAGGGTCGTACAGTCTCTTGTTTGCCTTAAGGTCGTCCTCTGCGGGATGTCGAACTACGAGGATCTCGTCGTTCGTCGTACTCATCAACGATCGTGGTTGTTCAAATTTGAACCCATACAGAAACGAGAATTCTCGTGGTTTAAAGTAGCACACTCAGCAACAAATTATGGACTTATCACAAAGGAAACATATAAAGAAGGATTGACTACATATATATATAGAGAGAGAGGTACAAATTCGAAATGAGAAACAGCTCAACTATTTTCAAGAGTTGATCACTCCTTTCTCCTCAAACGGGAAGGTTCTCTTAAGAAGAAAAGCGTGAGTACTAATTAAGCATATATCATACATTTCTAGCAGCTACCAAGCTAGAAGATTAAAAGTATAATTGATGGCCTACAATATGATATACACTCGTGATTAGATATTTTCTTCTTTAATTAGAGCCGAAAAAGGAGCGGAAACTAAATATTCCCTCTGTCCAAATTTTAACTACGTTGGTCGTTATTGCCCTGGGGAATCTATATGATAGCAGGATTGGGGGAAAAAAAACAAATATAAGTAGTTTACTATTGCAAGTTGCCTTTATAGTCAAACATCAATATGCCTCTATTGTAATATGTAGAGTTGGTGGAAATAAACAACTGTTATATGGTAGCAGAAGTTATTGCAAGTTGTCTAAGAAATAACAAAGAAATTGCTGAATTTTTCTGAAACAACCTTTTTAAAATATAGTTTATAAAAAGGTTTAAAACAATGTTGAGAGTCAAGAGAAGGAAAGTATCATGGCTAGTTTTGATATTCCAACAATTGATGTTTCTCCATTTTTGATATCAGAGGAAGATGGAGATGGGAAAAAGAAGGTTATGGAGCAAATAGGGGAAGCCTGTGTTAACTATGGCTTCTTCCAGATTGAGAATCATGGAATTCCTTTGGGATTGCTGAGTAGTGCAATGGATTTGTACAAGACTTTCTTTGCTTGTTCAGATGAAGATAAATTATTGGTCTCTCCAAAACCCGGTTCATCAATACCAGCTGGTTATTTGAAAAGCCCACAAAATTCAGCGGAGAAGAATGAGCACTTCGTCTTTCTTCCTCCATCCTCTGGCTTCAATGTCTATCCCAACAATCTACCTCATTTGAAGTATGTCTTTATATTCCCTTCCTCCTTTGTCCAACTTATACACTTCCGAATGAACGATTCACACTAGTTCAGATGTTTTAATGGATAAAAAATAATTAGTTTTATTACTTTATTCTGATAGTGGATAAAGCTCAATTATTTTGATATGAACAAAAGTAATTTTTTGACTTTACTGATATAATAGGTAAAATTCAATGACCTTATATAAAAATTACTAGTAGAAATTGAATCAAAGGAAAACCAGAGCAAAGCCCAAATACCTCCGATATGGTGATTCCAAAGTTAATTAAAAATTAATTTGCGTTATCATCATTGTTAAGCTTTTAAGGAGCATTATTTCCTCTTTGTGAAATATACTTTTTATATCCGTAGAAAAGTTTTGGAGGAGATGTTTTCTCATTTCACCAAACTATGTTATGGTGCTTCCGGTAAGAATTAAAAAAAATTATCCCAACTTGCTTGGAATTAAGGCGTAATATTTATTGTTGTAGTATTCTTACTTCTTAGCAAAGTATTTTTCATATTCTTAGACAAGTTTTGGAGGAGATGATTTCGCGCTTCACCAAATTAGGAATGCTATTGGAGAGCATCATAAGTGAGTGTTTGGGCCTCCCTCCTAACACCCTTGCAAAATTCAACGATGATCGGTCATGGGACTTCTTGATTGGTCTCCATTATTTTCCAGCAACAGAAGCTGAAAATAATGGAAAATCTGCACATGAAGATGGCAACTGCATTACTTTTGTCTACCAGGATGAAGTCGGAGGCCTTCAAGTGCACAAAGATGGGCAGTGGATCCCTATAGCACCTTCCAAAGACAAACTAGTTGTTAACATTGGTGATATTATTCAGGTAATTCGGTTAGTTTTTAACCCAAATAAAACGGCTAATTTCATGAATATTCATTTAACTTTTTAATTCATAGCATTAAAGTCATAAAATTGAATTATTTAAATTCTAACTCAAGTATGTCTATATATCAAAGAAAATACTCACCTTGATACCCAAAAACGCAAGTATGGTGCGATATGGTATATATTGGCATGTAACTATAAGCATAGCTACATTAGCAAATGATCTTATATAAAAATTATAGTAATTCATTTTCTGACCAATTTTCTTTTTAAATAAACAACTCATGATGTGGTATATGGTATAAAGGTGTTAAGCAACAACAAATTCAAGAGTGCAACACATAGAGTGGTGAGACAGAGGGGGAAAAGCCGTTACTCGTATGCATTCTTCTATAACTTGCAGGGAGACAAGTGGGTTGAGCCATTACCACAGTTTACAGAGGAAATTGGAGAATCGCCCAAGTACAGAGGATTCCTCTTCAAAGAATATGCGCAGCTGAGAGTCAAAAACAGGACTCATCCACCAACTAGACCTGAAGATCTCATCCACATAACTCACTATTCAATTTCTAATTAGAGAGGAATTAATTCTATGTGATCAAAGGTTTTCCTCTATGTCGTAGGAAACATGGCAATAGTATGTGTTACTTCACTCAGAATTAATGTGGAGACAATTTATTTGAGTTTTATCTCTTCAATCCGCTATCCCATTTCACTTGTTTCCTGCAGAACCTCTTATTTCATAGATTACTGGAACAATATCATACAAGTTATTATTGTATTGGTTTAAATTTTGGTGGTTTGATTACTGCAAATGAACATGGTCGAATATAGAACCGACCACGGTATAATGGCGAGGACTAGAGTCGTCTTAGGAAGGATTATTGTCGAGGTTAGGGGTGTACAAAGGAAACCGACAAACCGCACCAACCCGATAATTCAAGTCAAATCGAGAAAAAAAAAACCCGACTATGGTTTGGTTTGGTTTGATTTGGTTTGGTGTTGGAAAAAAACCCCGACCATAATTGGTTTGGTTTGGTTTTAGCTAAAGAAAGTCAAACCGAAACCAAACCAACCCGACATTACATATATAGAAATTTTAGATATATTTAATATATAATATATTTATTGTGATGTAATTTATAAATATTTCTTAAAAGATTTCATAATTTTATCTTTTGAGGTATTATTTCAAGGTTGAATTTAGAACTTTTGAATGTTCCAATAAGTTTTATAGCCATTAACATTAGCAAATTAATAGTGCTAACAAAAGCTCAAACCAAAATCAAATCAATAGTAATGCTAACAAAAGACATTCAATTCAATACTACGAACGAGAATGTATTGAATATCTATTTTTTATTTTGCAATAATTTAGATAAAAAAGCATAACCTATTTTTATTTTTTCTTTAGCGTTTAGTCATGTAATTAGTACTCCCTTATTAGTCTACTTATTTTAGCATGACTTAGTACTTTTAGATTATGTTTATTTTTATTATGGCTTTTTAATTAGCAATATTTATATTACATAATTTTATTGTCTTTATTGTTGAATATTTTAGGATAATGCCATGACATATATCATATTTTGTATTATTTTCTTGGAAAATACTTTATATAGTTATATCTTACTAGGATTAAAGAAATATTTTGAGCACAATTTATATGTTTTGTTCTACGAAGATTTTACTAGAAAAAAATCCGAAAAAAAACCCGAATAACCCGAAAATCCGAGAAAAATCGAGAGTGAAAAACCCGAGTTTTATTGATTTGGTTTGGTCTTTAGATTTAATAACCCGACACAATTGGTTTGGTTTATAAAATCCGAACCAACCCGACCTATGCACACCCCTAGTCGAGGTCAAGCCAAGGAAGTAAGGAAGCAACAATAGGATAGTTTAGCAATAGATATAAGGAATATATCATTGGATATTCTTTATGTTGTACTTTTTAGGGATTCTTGGGGATAACCCTTATAAACAGGAAGAAATAAAGAACAAAAGAGGGATCTTCACTTTTTTATAAGAATACATTGTAAAGGGTTGACTATAAAGAATATACAACAATTGTCTTGTTTACTGACGACATTGCTCAACATATGATATTCAATCTACCTTTGTAAGATCAAAAGATTCCTTATCCATCTTCACTTCCCATCCTTCTGCATTGTTGTCCGGTGGAGGAATCATCCAAGTTATATAATATTTGGGTGATAAATTCCCTCTTATTACATTTATTGTCATTGTCTACATTTATTGCATGTTCTTATTATAACATTTATTGACAATCATTGAGTTGACATCCGATATTCATTATTCTCAAACATTGCCCATACCGTTGGTGTCCTCAAGTATTAGATCTAGAATTTATTATGTTTAACTAGGATTCACTTTCTATTTCATTATTAATTAGTTTAACAAAAAGCTTGACACTTTTTGGCCCAATAATTATTACACTAATTCTGATTTTCCAGGACCGAATTTTAGCATTTATCATCATTTTCTATTTTCCGTCATATATAAGCTTAGTTGAGTTATTTTTTCTGTTGCAAAAATTAGTTTTACGTACGTGTGCAGTAGCTAAAAGTTAGATGAATATTGATGAAATTAATCCTTCGTTAAGACTTGCCAACTATTGGACGGAACCAGGATTTCAAGTTTATGAGTTCAGGATCTTAATATTTTAAGTTACTGGGTTCTCAATTAATAATTTGTATATCTTTAATGAAAATTGTAAGACAAATACATGATTTGAACCAAAATTACTGGGTTCGGCCGACCCCGTAACCGACACTATGGCTCCAACCGCCTATCCTAAACTTATGGTCTTCCTGCTAGCTTGCGCAAATATTACAACAGCTTTATTTGATTATCTCAACAGTTCTTCAGATTCAATGCTTTTCTTTTTCTCTTCCAGCTCTCTTTTCTGAAAGAGAACTGCGGTACCATTTTGAGATCGTTTAGTCTATCCATATATCAACACAAGAAACATGGTACGCACTATTAATTTAAGAGGCTCAATTTACAGCTATGTGTCTTGATCACTGTTAGCTACTACAACCTTGTTTCTTTCTTTCTTTTTCTTTTTTTTCCGAATAATCTCAAGTGCTCCTTATATTGTTAACTAAAATATTGGTTTTTTAAGACAAACGTTGGCACGTTATTGGATCTTTTCGGATTACTATATGCCTAGAACTTTGTTAACTAAAGCATATGATACAGACTTAAGTATAAAACAAAGTTGCAGCATCTTCTTTTATTTATGAATTATGACAGAGCTGTCCAGAAGCTGAATATTTATGTGGGGCAGAAATGGCTAAGGGCCATTTGACTTTAAATCCAGTTTCACCGTTTTATTTGCGTTACTCTATTTATTTATGTTATGTCTAGAATACAAATCTATTCCTATCACCCATGAAAAGTTAAACAGTTAAAATAAACAGAATGAAACATTGGCCCTCAAGTTGGCTAAAACGGCATGGCCATTTTTGATATTCCAACGATTGATGTTTCTTCATTAATGTTGAGAGAGGAAGATGAAGAAGGGAGAAGGAAGGCGATGGAGCAAATAGAAGAAGCTTGTGTTAACTGTGGCTTCTTCCAAATTGAGAATCATGGAATTCCTCTGGAGTTGCTGAGCAGAGCCATGGATTTGTATAAGACCTTCTTTGCTTGTTCAGATGAAGATTAACTCTTGGTCTCTCCCAAACCTGGAGGAACTGTACCACCTGCTGGTTATTTGAAAAGTCCACAACATTCAGACGAGAAGAATGAACACTTATTGATTCTTAATGCATCCTCTGGTGTTAACAAAAATCCACCTCAATTTAAGTACGTCTTTATAAACTTCCAAATTGGTTTCGGTTAGTTCTGGAAAATAATTTAGGAGAAAAGTTGTGTATTCGGATTTGTTTCACATCTTTTCTGAATTCTGAACATATTTTGACTTCTACCTTTGAATCCAAATTTGATGCTAAGGCTCTTACCCTGATTAGTGATGTTCAAAATAAATAGAGACCAGTATCAGAAGAGATTTGCTTCAGTATTAAAAATTTCGCAATCATCTGTTACTAAGTTAGTCAAAATTGAATCAAGCCTAGCCCCAAGTAAAGCCCTAGGTAACTATGTTATGGTGCTTCCAGTAAGAATTAAAAATAATTATCCCAACTTGCTCGGAATTAGGGAGTAATTGTTATTGTTGTAGAATTCTTACTTGTAAGGAATTTTTCTTTTTTTATATTCTCAGACAAGTTTTGGAGGAGGTGATTTCGCACTTCACCAAATTAGGAATGCTGTTGGAGAGCATGGTAAGTGAGTGTTTGGGTCTTCCTCATAACACTCTCGCAAAATTCAACGATGATCGGTCTTGGGACTTCTTGATTGGTCTCCACTATTTTCCAGCAACAGAAGCTGAAGATAATGGGAAATCTGCACATGAAGATGGCAACTGCATTACTTTTGTCTATCAGGATGAAGTTGGAGGCCTTCAAGTGCAAAAAGATGGGCAGTGGATCCCTATAGCACCTTCGAAAGACAAACTAGTTGCTAACATAGGTGATGTGATTCAGGTAAATCTCAGCTGGTTTCAAAGTCAATTACCATTGTCCAAAACTAAAAGAATAAGTTGTTTGACATTAATATTTGATTTTCTTGTGATATGTACGGCAAAAGGTGTTGAGCAACAATAAATTCAAGAGTGCAACTCATAGAGTAGTGAGGCCGAAAGGAAAAAGCCGCTACTCGTGTGCATTCTTCTATAACTTGCAAGGAGACAAGTGGGTTGAACCATTACCACAGTTCACAAAGGAAATTGGATAGTCTGCCAAGTACAAAGGATTTTTCTACAAAGAATATGTGCAGCTGAGAGCAAGAAAATGGACTCATCCACCTAGTAGACCTGAAGATCTCATCCATATAACTCACTACTCAATTTCTAATTAGAGAAGTTTATATGTGATCCAAGATTTTCCTCTATATGGAAATAAACATAGGAATAATATGTATGACTTCGCTCCAACTATGCAGACAATTGATTTGAGTGTCACTTCTTCGATCGGCTATTGTATTTCACTCGTTTTCTGAACCTCTTCTTCAATAGATAGAACACTATCATACAAGTGTTATTAGACTACTTCTGAATTTTAAGCTACATAGCAGAGATGTCATACTCTTTTAACTAATTGAACGCGATTGCATTAAAGGAAGGAGGGGGGGGGGGGGGGGGGGAGTAGAATGAGAGCAAATGGACGTTGGAACTATGCCGATATATGTAACAGATTTAGCATTTTCAGCCTTTCTATTTTTTTATGATATAGATGATAATAGGTTAAATCTAGGTAATTTGGCAATTGTTTATGCTCCCACTTGATTATATTCCAATACCATAATACAGTTAATTGATGAAAAATAGGCTCTAATTGTGAATTGTATATATTGCAGGATGAGGAACCTAGGTGATGCCTTTTTTTTTTTTTAACAAATCCACTAGGCAAGTGCCTAGGGCTAGTTTTTTTTATTAATAACAGAAAAGAAAAATACATCAATTAGGAAAAGTACAAATAAGGGGGAAATAGCACCGATATTGTTACCCATATGCCTTGGCTATATAATCACTCATCTGCGCCTCACATTGCCTATGACAGCCTCATGTAGAGGATTCATGGTGTAGCTGCCTGCAAAGTCTCACGAGGGCATATAATCTCATAGCCGTGTGGATAATTTCCAAAGGCATAGGACCAAGACAACACGTACCGGGCTAAACCTTAC